ACACAAGTACACACACATCAGTACTGCACCTCTGCAAGACTGATTTTTGTCTCAGTATTTCTCATTCTTGTAAAGTTAAATATAAGATGTGTATGATTTTTGTATTGTAATTAGAAATGCATTATATATTGTTACCTTATTGCTTATTTATACATTTAAAAAAAATTAGTGATATCAGTTGGTTATAAATCACGAAAAACACACAACCCATTTAAAAAAAAAAACACTTTCCCAAAAATTGGATATGCTTTAAGATCTCTTTCCTTTCAGGAGTGCTTGTCGGATTGACTAACATAAAGCAATTTTGTGGATGCAATGATAACAGAGACAGCTGTATGCATTCATGCATAAAAATAAACAATTTAAGTTAATTATTTGGGAGGGAGGGAGTTTACTAAATCTTTACCAACAATAGTGTGAAATGCATAACCAATAAATAATTAGCCACAGGGTTTGTCCTAAATAATGCCATTTAGTTTAGATCTGCTTGTAAAATATGATTCCTGTTTTAATCTCAGGACTACAGATGTTCACAGTATGTGCATTAATATTCATACAAAGTACTGTGGACTTTATCAAAATCTGTTTCAGACCACACACTCAATTCTTGTACTTTGCGGTCTTGTAACCAATTTATCATTCCATTGGCTTTTCTCTCTAAGCGCTGCTGTCTAAAAGGAACATTATTATTTTTTTTTTATTTCATATCTATTATGAAGAGGACTTATATTGTCTAATTTAAACTGTATTTTTTTTTTTTCATTCAGCCATTCAACTTCCATACTCCAAATTCATATTTCACATATAAAACTATGAACATTCTTTTTTTGTAATTAGTTCATGTGAAATAATATATTTGAATAATATTGACCATTGGTAGATAGATGCATAAATGAATATATGGATAGATATGCTTAAATGGATAGATGGATGAACGGGTGCTGGTGTATCAGAGGTAAATGCCTCTGTTTTTTATTCGCCACTGGATCGATGAAGGATGGTGGTTTTATTACATTATATTCAGAGGTTTATTCCCATTCAAACCATTGTGCATTTACACTGTCTAAAACATCATACACTCTCATAGATCAGAGACAGTCTAATTTAATCAGAAAATCCAATCTAAATCAATGCTGTTCACTCTCAAGTCCACAGCTAAGTGAAATACAATGTATTTCTAAGTGCATTATATATTGGAGAAGTGATTTCAAGAGGAGAGAGGTGTTTCAGGTTGAACCTATATCCAGTACAAACATGTGGTGTGTGTGTGTGTGTCCTAATTTTCAACCACTATTCTAATTTTTTTATTTATTTTTTATTTTTTTGTGATCAACTCTTTGTCTTTAGAAGAAAAATAAAATCCACTCAAACAAACAGACAGGGAAGGGGGAGAAACAGACATATTATCAAAATAAAAATAAATAAATCTTTATATAGCCTTTCCCTTATATAATCCAATATTTTGGAAGAAAAACATTGCCATGCATCAATGTTACTAGGTTTAGCCTTGTTAATTCGTGCTGTTGTACATTCACAATTCAATTTTGTGGAGGCTATGAATCTAATATGTTTTTGCACACATGTGCGGAGTAAACCAAATCTGTGTTATTGTCTTTTTTTGCTGGTGTAAACCCAGCAAACAACATTCTTTTTTGCATTGAACTTATACAGGAGTCAGAATCGTCATTGAGAAGACATAAACCTGATTAGACATGTAATCAGTTTGTAGAAAGGAGGACATAGCCAAGTTTACATTATCCCATATGTTGACAACAATTGGACACTCCCAAAATAAAGGAGATTTTAGCTGATTTTGGCACGATCCGTTTGTCGTAGGGTGTCGTGGGGATTCGTAAACCACAATGGGGGTCGGAACGGAAGATTCGATCGTTTCATCTCGTATAGACCTTATGCTCCAGAGAAACGTGGGCGTTTGTTGAAATTGGGCGTTTGCTCTGGTGAAATTGACGATTTTCAATTTTCTTTAGAAAATTGTCTTTGAACTTCCGTTTTTGCGGTCGCACTATATATCTCTATGGCATCGCTGTTGAGGAGTAATTAGCTGGTGAAGTGGATTTACTTATTGTAGAGGTAATAAATGTTATCATGAGCATTGTAATGTTTATCATAAGCATTGTAAAGCAGATGTCTTAACAAATGTCGACCGGGAAATTTCGCCCAGGGACCTCCATATGCCTAAAAAAGACAAAATATGAGGATGCTGGCAAATAAAACTTAGTTCTTAGTTCTTGCGCAATGTCCCAAGTTATCAAATTAACCACTATGCTTCTTGTGGCTTTTATTACCATTGTGGCTTTGCATTAAAAGTGCAAAACAGATTTTAAAGAGTGTTAATTTGAGTGGATTTTATCTAGTTTCTAAGGTGATGGAGAGAGTAAGATAGCTCTTATGTAATGCAATCCCAGAGCTTAAAGAGTGAGGTTTCCTAATTGAATTTGTTCGGCTGCTCTCTTTGTGTCTGGGTCCATTCATGGAGATTGGAATTTAGAGCTTTGTGTGCACATGTGTGTGCTTTTGTGTGTGCGTCTTTGTCAAATCTCCAAATAGAAAGTGTTCTTCTCAGATTAGGAAGTAATTTTAGCTCTCAGAAGAGATTAAGTGAAAGGGATGAAGTGAAGGGACAGAGAAATAGAAGGACAAAAATAATAAAAAGAATCTCTAGCTACCTAAAACAGATAGATAACCCCGATCAGAGCCTAATAGAATTAGTAGGGAAGGATCGGGCCTTTGTGTGTGCGTTTGTGTATCATCCTTTTTTCCAGCAGGGTGAGTTTAGCAGTAGGTGTAAGACCCTAAGCTTCATTTTAAATGAAAAGAGAAAAGAGAAACTGATGTGTGCAGGTGCTGCAACATCACATAGAGTCTCAGAGAAGACTAATGCAGACACTTGTGGATGATTATTGTGATGCTTTTAAAGACCTTTTAGCTAGCTGTAATTCAAGTAGAAGCTTTAAGCCTACGTATCTTAAAGTAGGATGTGTTGTTTTACAAAGACAAAGAGACCACTGAACAAGCCTGAATGAGAAAATAGGTTTAGTAACACTTCGCTTGAAGCCTTTGTGTACAATTCATTCTATTGATATTTTTTTAGGAAGGTAAGTTATAATTAATTATATATATTTTATGCCTTAATTGTAACCACTTCTATAGTGCTATAATGTAGTATTGCCACTTTTAACAAATACCTCTTGCCACAGTTGCCTGTAACAAGTTCTACATTCAAATTCTTGAGTTGCTGCAAAGTATCCGAAGCTTAAAAAAAGTTTATGTACTTTTTGTTTGTTTTACAATATTTCTTTTTTCAGTTTTGTTTCCAAAGCAGTTTTGTTTTTTTGATTTATGTGATTTGTTTTTTTCTTTCTAGAAATAAACCCAAAATGAATGTAATAAAACTTTGTAATAAAATAATAGAAAAAAGGCCATGATGAGTAATAGGGTTTCAAGTAACAAAGTTGCAGATTTAGGCTACATTAAGTTATGATTCAGTTGAGAAAGTTATTGATGAGCTTATGTTTGCCTTGAATAAAAGTATTTGCTTGAGTGATTTTAATCATATTTAGTTACAGGATTCAGTGGTTGAGCTCAGCTAATGTGCTCAACTCGCTAATATGTGTGTAAAAATGTACAAAATGAAATGATGATTTATTTCTTTTTCCTGTTATTTTTTAGAAAGGGTCCAAATTATATAACTTCCTGGATGTGACAATTTTATGGAATAAATTGAACAATGAATTTAAAGTCCCTGTAAAGTCAAAATTAAGTATGTGTTCTGAGTTTGTCACACCACAGAAAATTGTGTTATTAGCCACTCAGCCAAATTTGAATGATAAAAAAAGCCGGCAAGTACATAAAATAAGCTATCAAAATCTTGAAAAAATGAGCAGTTATCTCTGTTCTCAAACGCTGGGGGCGTGTTCGCTGGCTGTGCTGAAACCACGCCCACTAGCGGGAAAGCTGTCGACTGTGATATTAGGTGAAACTGCTTTCGCGACGGAAGGATGAACACTGAGGCGGGAGATAGTCGTTTCGGCTCCGTTCACCAGTAACAGCGGATTATCATTGAATCACAGTTGTCTCTGAGGAAAGTTTATAAAACTATCCAGTGTAAAATGATCACTACAGAGGCGGGTGTTGGCGGTGATCCTCAGAACTTCATCAAGGTTGGCTCTCTAAAAACCTCTTCTTGATGTGATCGTTTTTCGGGAATTTAAATGAAGATACCGATCTGTTTTGTACATGATCGCATCCAGGTAGCCTCTGCATGTCGAAGGCATAGCTAGGTAGCAAACTGTAGGCTCAGCTGTAGTTACTAATTGTACTGACAGTTACTCGCGATTGAGCGGTGAATGCGAATGTGCTCGGGGAGTGTTATTGTGTGTTAGGGGAGAGATCAGACTCCAGGAGCTGCGTCCAGGAGCTCATGGGCTCCAGTGCGTCATCGAGCCCTGTTTTAGCCCCGCCCAAACAATTGCAATGGTGAAAAACTGTTTAACAGTCTAACTCCACATTTCAGTACTTCACAGTTCACAGTCTTTGTAATGCGTTTTAGCAATACAAATGTAGCATTTATAATGTGCTTAGAACTTTTTTGTAGAATTGCCTTTACAGGGACTTTAATATGATTTTAACAGATTATGTCATAACTATGATGCATCAGTAAAGCAGTATAATGCACAAGAAATTCGATTTGTATTTTAATGCATTATGATTATATATATCATACACAAGGCCATACAAATGATTAAAACTTTAGGACATTAAAATGCCTAAATAATGGCCTTTTAATTCATTATACATACATGCTATAAGTGAAATGTTACCAAATAGAGGCTGTACAAGAAACGTGGGTGGGGGATTTTTAAAAGAATCCATTTCTCTCTCAGGAAATGGACAATTTGGAAGACTATCATTAAATATTATAATTACTTCTCTCTCTCTTTTTTGCTCTTTCTCTCTATTTCTTATCTTTCCCTTTCAAGATCTCCCTTCCAGCCCCGTGGCTCAGTTCACATTTCGACCTCTGCCACCACCTCCTCCGCCGCCCCACGCGTGCACCTGTGCCCGTCCAGCCCCGGCTCCCCTTCCAGAGGTGGGGCAGAGGAGCACGCTGCCAGCCCGATGCCAACCGCTGGAATCTGGGAATAAAGCCGGACAGGATGACAACGGGCAGACGCACAATACCTGGGCACTGAACAGCAACATACCACTAGAGACCAGGTGAAATATGAACATACACACATTTGTTTTTCTTGCGCCTGGGGACTTTCCATTGAATTCTATTGTTTGATACTGAGGTAATGATGTTTTCTGTCTTTTAACCCTGCGCCTAAACAGCAACTTTCGTCATTCTTACATTGTCATTAAGGCATTTAGTGTTTCACAAAGCTATTTTCTTTAGTTATTCATTTGCACATACATTATAATCACGTCTTCAAGCGAAAGAGAATATGCATGAGTGTTTGTCTGTGAACGACAGATGGAGAGAGATATGATGATGATGATGATGATGATGATGAAGATGAAGATTGAGGGTTGACCTACTCTTCTGAAAGAGAGAAATGAGAGAGTAAATAAATGATGAAGGATAGACATGTCTGCTTTGAGGGAGGAAATGAAGCTGTCTTCCTGGACTGATTGTCTTACACGCACACAAACCCCAAAGATATTGATGAAAATGAAAGCTGTGTGCGCGTGAATACATATGAGCGCATGTATGCCAGCTTTTCTAGATTTCCAGCAAGGTGATTTTGGCAGTAGCGGTCAAACTTATTTTGACTGAGAAGTTGAACAAACAAGTCACATATCCACTCAGATGCTTATAGCTGTTATGTATCTGGAGAGAATTGAATTGTTAATAAAGAGATTTGCCATATTGGTCAAGCGGGTAGGGTTCTTTGTCATGTTGTGATTAAATAAAGACACTATTATACAAATCCAGCTATCTCAAAACAATAGCTAATAACAGATTTAGTAGTTAAACAGATAAAGTATTTTGAACTATGCTAAGCACTGCAGCACCTTTTCTACTGTAAACCCACCACAAGCAGCAGACAGCAATGGAATGTTTATGCTAGCGGCTGTTAGAGGAATGCTGGGTAATTTAACCATTTGCATATTTTTCCAGCAGAATCAGACCTGTTTTTTTTAAATGTCAATTTATTCTTTTTAAAGGAGATTGAAATGTCTGAAAGAAGCTAAATGTAAAAGTGTAGAAATGTAACCTCATTTGCTTATGGAGTTTAAATGGCCGTATACTTTGGCTAACATGACACGGAGTGAATGCCACCCATTCAGATGTTTTCTTTGAGATTTGGGGGTTAAGAAAAGCAGATTTACCAATTTTCTAGAGTGGTTTAAAAAATCCTGCCAACCGCTGCAAGAAAAGTCCTTAAGTTAAAGGGTTGCATGAAAGATTCTGGATAAACCGAGCCGAACGGCCGATGACATTGGCGTTGTATCGAGAACGTGTCATCGTCATGGTGATGTCTATACCTGCTGACATGTTGCTCTCTCCCAAATGAACTTTCTCAATTAAATCTGGATCAATAGACCAACATTAATGCACAGAGGAGAATCTCTCCCATCAGCATATTATTCTGAACACTCGCTGATTCAGTGGCCATACTCTGTACAGTACAGAATATGTACTGTATATACAGCATGGAATACTGTAAATCATATCATATGAGATTTTAATACACAGAAGCATCATTCCCATGCAAACATCTCCCATCATATTTTTGCCAAGTGGATGTTTATTGTAACTTCCCTAAACATACAGTAGTTGCCCAATTATTATAATATAAATATATATAAAATAGAAAATATGTCTGCACATCAAAAACCTAGTTAGTGTACAATTTAGTGCACAAAAACCTAATTTTAGTACAGTGAACTTATTGTCATGTTCAAGAAAGCAATTTGAAATGATTCAAGCTTTGTGACATGGTGCATTATCCTGCTGGAAGTAGCCATCAGAGGATGGGCACATGGTGGCCATAAAGGGATGGACATGTTCAGAAACAATGCTCAGGTAGGCTGTGACATTTAAACGATGCCAAATTGACACTAAGGGGCCTAAAGTGTGCCAAGAAAACATCCCCCACACCATTACACCAGCTTGCACAGTGGTAACAGTGGTTCAAGGCATGAAGGATCCATGTTCTCCTTCTGTTTACGCCAAATTCTAACTCTACCATCTGAATGTCTCAACAGAAATTGAGACTCATCAGACCAGGCAACATTTTTCCAGTCTTTAACTGTCCAATTTTGTTGAGCTCGCTCTTGCAAATTGTAGCCTCTTTTTCCTATTTGTAGTGGAGGCGAGTGGTTCCCGGTGAGGTCTTCTGCTGTTGTAGCCCATCCGCCTCAAGGTTGTGCGTGTTGTGGCTTCGCAAATGTTTTGCTGCATACCTCGGTTGTAACGAGTGATTATTTCAGTCAAATTTGCTCTTCTATCAGCTTGAATCAGTCGGCCCATTCTACTCTGACCTCTAGCATCAACAAGGCATCTTTTTGCCCACAAAACTGCTGCATACTGGATGTTTTTCCCTTTTCTCACCATTCTTTGTAAACCCTAGAAATGGTTATGCGTGAAAATCCCAGTTACTCAGCAGATTGCGAAATACTCAGACGTCTGGCACCAACAACCATGGCGTGCTTAAAATTGCTTAAATCACCTTTCTTTCCCATTCTGACATTCAGTTTGGAGTTCAGGAGATTGTCTTGACCAGGACCACGCCCCTAAGTGCATTGAAGCAACTGCCAAATGATTGATTGATTAGATAATTGCATTAATTAGAAATTGAACAGATGTTCCTAATAATCCTTTAGGTGAGTGTATATATTTAATGTGCAGACATAGTTTATATTTTCCCAATAAAAATGTACTGACATTTTTTTGTCTGTATCATCTCAATAGGTTTTATATAATATATAATGAAATATTGAATTAATAAACATTTTAATACATAATATAAAATGTGTATTCAAATATCTCAATTCGAACAGTCTAAAAATGGAAATGCATGGTGATCAATTGCTGGCTTAAAATTGTGTTTTTATGTCACTCAGCTGTTCTATATAAAAAAATCTGTGTTATTTCAATATGAGATTGTTTTCTGTATGCATGGCATATTTCACAGTTTTTCAAAAGTGTTTGGTTTAAAAACAATACCCACCTTGACTTTTTGAGTTGAAGGCTCTGATATTTTAGTGGGGGAAAAAAGCACTCAGTGGAATAGAATATTTATTTTGAGACTGTAGGAATCTGATTTGTAAAACTGTGATCTCATGTGTTTACACCTGCTCTTTTCTGTCTTTTTCCTTCGTCTCAATCTTTCTCTTTGTTTTTTCTAAGTGTTAATTGTTATTTATTTATTCTACAGTAAATAAAGACAGGATTAGTTCTGCGTGTCTAAGTGTGAAATTAACTTTCTTTTTTTTAATGGCTGAGGTAAACTGTAATTTTTCTCTCAGTCTCAAGCCTAATTTTTCCATTGCATGCTCATTTAAATGCTTCTTTCAGGGCTTTGTTCGGCATCCCTGTAAGACACTATAAACAAATATCCAGAGCTTGCTTGTGTGTATCTGGTGGGTGCTTTCTCATTGACTCAACTCACCTTTGGTACTTGGCTTTTATTTGACCCTGAAACAGTATATGTGCTTTTATTGACATTTCGACATTGCATCCTGCTGCTTTTGTCAGTAAGTCATATGGTAGGAAAGCATTTTAATTGCGACTGTCAATAAATGTATTCATTTATTACAATTACTTCTCTAAAAAAAAAAATGCTACAAAATATAGTGGACAAATGGGCAAACTGGATTTTTCTAAATAATTTGAAATGGGGGAAAAAACAATATATTTACATCTAATGTCGCTTTTTGCAATGCCCATTCAGTAATTTACTTCTTGTCAGCTATAATAATATATTTTGTATTATAATATATCAAACTAATTGTGATTAATGCAATCTGCATATCATGCAATCAATTTGATTAAAATTGTTTATATGTGTCAACCTTAATTGTTATATTTTTATGTGCTTTTGCAAGTCTCCTTGTGTAAATTTGTTGGGCCCAAATGTCCCTGGAAATATAGTGAAACCTGAAACGACCCATTTTGTGGGGACCTTTGGGAAGTTACAAAAATGAACGCAACATCATAAATGGACTAAACAGTGCTTCAATAAAAATCTAAAATGACCAAAAGCTGTGTGTAGGGGGTAGGGTTTTGTGTAATTAAACAACAGATGGGAAGTCCCTACTATAATATAAATATAGATGTGTGTGTGTGTGTGTTCAGTTTTTCCCCACCTTGACTTCAATCCATATTGATGTCATCATGCGTTTTTGCCTCATCAGCATATTAACTTGTAAATGTGTTTAGACTGATCTACCTTTCAATGATTTTGGTCCTTTTTATTGATTGACCCTTTGTGCCTTTGGAAGAGTTGCACACGTTTACCCTGTTCCATCACTAGCTGATGTTGCAAAGGGATCAATTGCTGTTGAGAATCCATGTGTATCTTGGGAATTTGAAGATCTTTCTTCTGTTGCCTTTGGGCTTTTAACCTAAAAGCTGTTACCAATTTCCCCATGGCTATCTGTCAATCTGTCTGTCATCGTGATGACACGGTTAAACGGCCGTGTATCTGCTGCTGTGTGTTGCGCAACTAGCCGCATGTCATGATATTAAAAGGGAACTTTTAAATGAAATAATAACTACATAGTGCTTTGACACGTCCTACATTGTGACTGGATATACTTACTCTAAAACTACTTAATGCTACATTTTTATTCTTATTAAAATCATTTTTATGCGTGCTGTTTTTGACTATATTTTAAGTCAAAAAGACTGCTTAGATTACTTCTTCTATTTTCTAAAAATACCTTGTTGTTTTACACCAAGTGTGAATTTTAAAAAGCTGTGAGTTTTAGGCAGCCTGTTCTCATCCCAAGACGTCATCTTCAACGCTTACGTCAGTTAGATGACGCTATCTAATCCTAAGCCTACCCCAGACCTAAACCTACTCGTCATCTAACTGACGCTAAAGGTAATAGGATCATCATCTAACTGACGTTAAAGGGTACCCTAAAACGTCGGATGTTGACGTATGGTCAAAAGCGTCAGTTAGATGACGTCTTGGGATGAGAATGTGTTGTTTTAAGGATTTAAAAAAAAAAAGCTAAAATATTATTAAAATCGTGGAAATTACAGTGTACACCTAAAATATACAACTATTGCTCTTAAAAATTCATATAAATTTAAACAAAAAAAAAGTTGTTGATTTTTTTTTTAAAATGGTTATTATAATTTTTTTTTTTATTTGGTAACTGCCCACCATTGTAACATAGTGCAAGGCAACACAAGTACTGTGTATCTCTGTGCAAATTGTTTTTAAGTAGGCACCTTTTAATTACTGTAAGAATGGACTCCTCTGTGTAATTATTATCATAATTAATCTAAGGGATGTTATCTATTAATTAAGGCTCATTAATCTCTGGTGCTAAATATCTGTAATTAAATGCACGTGAGAGCAAATGACTCCAATTAGTAACCAAACCTAGTGAGAGTAATCACACACCTCTCTCTTTTTCTCACTCAATCTCTCGGTTGCTCTCTCTGTGTCTCTTTGACTCTGTCTTTCAGGTGTAATTTGTTTTTGGATGTATTTTCATGATCAAATTGATTGACAAATCATATCACTGTTATTCCTTTCCTTTACAGGCACTTCTTGTTCAAGCACGGTTCCGGATCGTCTGCCATTTTCAACGCGGCCAATCAGAATTACCCTCTGACATCCAGCACGGTGTATTCGCCGCCTCCGAGGCCTCTACCCAGAACCACCCTCTCCAGACCACTCTTCTCATTCAGTAAACCCTATCGCTGCTGTAACTGGAAATGTACGGCTTTGAGCGCCAGCGCAATTACGCTGACTCTCGCTCTACTGCTGACGTACATCATCGGTGAGTGTCTTATCTCTCCACCTCTGCTGTATGTCTCTCTCTCTCTCTCTCTCTCTCTCTCTCTCTCTGTCCATGGCTGCTGTCATGCTGGCTGGGGTCATATGGAATTAGCAGAACTCACACTGTGAAAAACTCTATTAGAGAGATGAATATTTATGAACAAGGGATGAGGGAGAACGAGAGATGAAAGAGTAAATATCCCACAAGGCCGTTCAGAGGTTAATGGTGTTAAAGTTTTGTTTAGCCAAGTCACCGTATGTGTGTGTGTGTGTGTGAGAGAGAGAGAGAGACATGTGCTGCTTGTGCACCTCAGTGTACTGATTTAATTTTCTCCGCTTTCACCCTTTAACAGGCATTTCTCTGGAAAATCGCACAAAAGAAGTGTGTTTTAGAGAAAAACATTAGGGTAAAAGGTTTCATCCATTAATGCTTGAAAGGCTGCAGTTAATAAAGTTTCTGGTCAGAGGTTCATACAGCAGCCTCTTAAACACTAATCATGTGTCTGGAAGTATGTTTCTCTCTAATGAAATGAGGACCTGTGCAATTCCCAAACACGTTATAATGATTTCTTGAGAAACTGACATTCATGATGTTCATTTCTACAATTATGTGCAACGTTTTTCTGTTGTGAACACATTCAGGGCCAGATGTACGTACATTTGCGAACGCAGAGTTAATAGCGCCATGGCCAAGATGCTGAAAGCGCTTGATGTGAACCTGCAGTGTGCATGTTATGTACAGTACCAAACCTGCAGTTCATCAGGTAATCAGCGCCTGTCCTGTCCCCAACCACTTTACCTTAAAATGCACATATTTCAACAATTGAATGGGTCTTCTCCTCTCACCGCTGATGCTATGAATATTTTAAAATGATCCCGATGCCAATAATTATAATGTAGCGAGGAGTTTAACAACTGATGGAATAGAATGTGAACGCTGAGTCGGAGATTCAATGTCATCTTTGATTTCTTCCATTAACTGTAATATTGCATAGCTGCTTAATCTGTAATGCTTAATGATTTAGTTTTCACTCAACTGAGAAAAGTGTGATTCTTGTGTCAAAAATCTTTTCAGCTCGCCTCCTTAGCCTATGTCTTCATCTTTGGATTACTGCTGCCATTTTTCACCAGGAGGCCAGCGAACTCGCTTCCTAAGTTACACCCGTTTTTACGAGGCAGTGAAGTTTCATCCCAAAATAGAGGCACGCTTTCACCTGCTTTTTCTGTACATAATACAGACAATAATTATAATTAGGGAATACATAATTAGCCTCAGTTTACGCTTCCCCTCCCATCTCTTTATGTGACACTCCCACTTTCCCCTTGACCATCCCATGAATGCATATGCATGACACGAAAAGCGCTTTTCGCCATTGTGCGTCCTGGTGCATCCCGTTCATACATACCTCACCATGATTTTATACGCACTTTGCTAAACAAATATGGCTGAAGTAGGCACAAAAGCGTTAGTACATCTGGCCATCAGTTAAGGCTTTCCACATTACACCTTGTTTCTTTATGCAAGAACAGAGACCTTACAGGAGGAAAAAGAATTTAAGAAATTAAAACTGCTATGATCATTCATTTACATTTTCATTCAAGCATTTAGCAGACGCTTTTATTCAAAGCGACTTACAAATGAGGAGAACAATAGAAGCAATCAGACCAACAAGAGTGCAACAGTATACAAGTGCTGTAACTAAAAAATAAAATAGAAAACATAGAATAGAATAGAAAAGGAGCAAGTATTAATTGGTCAGGTGCTGACGAAAAAGATGTGTAAAGACTCAGCTGCTCGGGTTGAGGTAGGCAGGTCATTCCACCAGCTGGGATCAGTCCAGGTAAAGGTCTCTGAGAGTGGTGTTGTGTATATTTGGGATGATGGCACAACAAGGCGTTGTTCACTTGCAGATCTCAAGCTTCTGGAGGGCGCATAAGTCTGAACTAGCGAGTTAAGGTGTTTTGGTGCAGAGCCAGTTGTTGTCTTGTTGGAAAACATCAGTGCATTGAATTTGATGCCAGCGGCTATTGGCAGCTACTGCAAACTATGAAGAGAGATGTGACGAGGGCTTTCTTCTGCTCGTTGAAGACCACCCTCGCTGCTGCTCTCTGGATCAGTTTGAAAGGCATGATCGTACATGCCCGTAAGGCCCGCTAAGAGGGCATTACAATAGTTCAGTCTGGAGAGAACAAGAGCTTGGAAAAGGAGTTGTGTGGCCTCCTCTGGTAGGAAGGGTCTAATCTTCCTATGTTTTATAAAGGACATCTGCTGGACCGGGCCGTTGTAATAATATGGTCTGTGAAGCTTTCATAAAGTAAATGTTAATCGAATAATAATTTGTGCCAATTCATTAAGGGGTTGGTAAGAATTTTTTCTCTTATGCTCACCAAGGCTGCATGTATTTGATCAAACATAAAAAAACAATAATATTGTCAAATATTATTACAATTTAAAATAACTGTCTATTTTTAATATATTTTAAAAGGCAATTTATTCATGTGAGTTTTCAGTAGGCATTACAGCCATTTACTGTCACTTTTGAACCATTTAATGAATCCATGCTGGGAAAAAAAAATTCATTTGTTTCAAAACCAAAAAATCGTACTCATCAATATTTACTGTAATCGATAATGTGTGTGTATATATAATTCATGCTGCAAATTTTGATCCATCTTGGATTTTATATATATATATATATATATATATATATATACATATTTTTTTTTTTTTTTTTTATATATATATATATATATATATATTTTTTTTTTTTTTTTTTTTTTTTTTAAAGAATGCTGAACACAATTTTCTCTGCAGGTCAACAGGCACAGCAGAATGTATTTTTTCTTTTTAATTATGCCAGAGAAACGGCTTTGTGCGTGTGTGTGTGTCTGCGCGCACATGTTCATGCTCTGGATGGCTCTGTTAATGATCGTATGGTCGTCTTTCACCCCATCGTTAGTGGCACCCTGTCTAAACAGATGCAATCCGTCTGCTTTGTCTCTTAACGTTCATCCTTATCCAACAATCTAAATGTGTTCTCAGTTCATTTTCTGTGCAAATGAAGGGAAGCAAAGGGATAAAAGGAATAAAGCTAAAGAGGAACACAAAGAACGAATGAATCTGCCATTATCTTCCTCAACTTTTGTCCTGTTGAGGAAAAGCATCACAGATGAGAAGAAAAGGACCCATAAAACATGTTAACTGGAAATGTTACTTTGTTGTGTGACTTCGGTGCTGAAGTAATTTAATTGGCCAATAGGCTTATCGTAAATATTCTATCTCATTGTCTTTTAGGGTAGTGTTGGGGTTGGGTTAAGGTTAGAATCAGGCCAATATAATTCTTCAGGAAAACTGTGGATTATCAGTTAGCACACATATACACATATAGTTAAATCTGTGGAATGGAAATGGGGAAAAAAGATTAACAAATCATTCTTTGATTTTTAAAAAGTGTTGTTATAATTATATTTTTTTTAAATAAATAAAATATAATTTTTTAAAATATGTTTTTTATTGTAGTGCTTGTATTCAATCTGGAATATTACTTTAAAAATAGTAGAAATTGTTAATTGGAGCTGAGACTAATGTACTGGTAACTGAAATCATGATCAAAGTAGCCAAAACATAATAAATAAATAAATAAATAAATACAGGGTGAGATCTGTGTAATTTTATGGATCATGGACTTTAAAGGAAATTTAATGAAGTTAATAATAAGAACTTTCTGTTGAATTCTGTTCAGGTATGAGTATATAATTATCATTAGGGAACGAATAAGGGACAGTATCGGGTTCACAGTTTAGATTAAGGTCAGATGTTTTAATGGAGTGTTTATCTTAAAAGAAGGGTTTTAATTGGTCTGTGTGTTTATTTAATTGAATGAATTTAATGAGGCTGTATCGTCTGGCCTCACCACAATTTTTACTTTAACAAGCACACGTTAGCTACCAGACTTGCACACACTATGAAGACATTAAGTGGGGCAGTGGTGTGCTCAGACTTCCTCAGGGGCAGGGGCGGAGGGACCAAAAAATTTAATGTAATTTAACAGTACCTGCATTTTTATTCTCTCTTTTCAGCCAACTGGTGAGATGCTTGCTTTAGCTGCATCAGAGAGTTCTGTGATTTTTGTTTTTATTCTTTCTTTCTTGGCATTCTAAGAAAATACATTGATCCAGTTATTAGAATGCATAACACATCAAATGAAAATAGGGAAATGATGATAATATTACTAATTATTTACTTTACCAAGCAAAACCGTGAGAATCAAGAAGGTTTTTTAATTTTAAAATTAATTTTTAGTTTATTTAATGTTGTAATTTTAATGTACTGTATGTATTACACTCACCTAACGGATTATTAGGAACACTAATACTGTGTTTGACCCCCTTTCGCCTTCAGAACTGCTTTAATTCTACGTGGCATTGATTCAACAAGGTGCTGAAAGCATCCTTTAGATTATGTTGGCCCGTATTGATAGGGCACATCCAGGGCATGAAGCTCCCGTTCCACCACATCCCAAAGATGCTCTATTGGGTTGAGATCTGGTGACTGTGGGGGCCATTTTAGTACAGTGAACTTATTGTCATGTTCAGGAAACCAATTTGAAATGATTCAAGCTTTGTGACATGGTGCATTATCCTGCTGGAAGTAGCCATCAGAGGATGGGCACATGGTGGCCATAAAGGGATGGACATGGTCAGAATCAATGCTCAGGTAGGCCTAGGCATTTAAATGATGCCCAATTGCCACTAAGGGGTCTAAAGTGTGCCAAGAAAACATTCCCCACACCAATACACCACCACCAGCAACCCACACAGTGGTAACAAGGCATGATGGATCCATGTTCTCAATCTGTTTACACCAAAGTCTGACTCCCTGAATGTCTCAACAGAAATCGAGACTCATCAGACCAGGCAACAGTCTTCGACTGTCCAATTTTAATGAGCTCTTGCAAATTGTAGCCTCTTTTTCCTATTTGTAGTGGAGGTGAGTGGTAC